GTGTGTCAGACAGGGTACTTCTGTGTGTCAGAGTACCAACCTGATAGGTTCAGGTGTCTGTTGGTTAGCCAGAACTGATAGGTTCAGGGTCTGTGCTTTAAGTTAAGGGTTCTGTGTGAACCAAACTGTATGCTTGTATGAGTGAGAATAAGCCACGTTACTTTATCTTATTCACCTGATTGTTTTATTTTTCCATGTGTGTGTTTAAATAAACCTTATTCCTTATTTGTTTAAAAATCCATCCCTGGTCTGTGTGACTTCTTAAGGGGAATGGTTGGTGGCAGCTTAGTGTAACTGTGTGACATATCCCAGTAGGTCTGGGTTTGTCACAGTTCACTCTTACACAAAGTAGTACATGAGATATGTGAAAGTGTATAGCACAATACATCCAACTTTTTCAGAGGATTATCCTGAACATGTCCTTTCTGTATTGTTTGCATTACCTGAGTACAGTAATAAACAAAAGAGCAAAGAAACCAAGAGGTAATAGGAAACAAAGCTATCTGAAAGAGCTGCTCCCCTTGGGTTCCCCCAGAATGAGGCTGGCTGAACTAGGTTATAGAACAAAGAGATAAAGAAGATGAAAACACTAATGTAAAGCAAGAAAATAACTGCCAGGACCCCCCAAGTGTATATCTGAATAGCTCCATACTGTGTGGCAAGACCCTTTTAGCATGCTACTGAAGCTGGTGATGAACTACACATTACCATGTGGCAAACTGGCTCCTAGCCGTACTGAGTGCATGTTATAAGTAATGATAACCAGTAGTCAGTCCTCTGGGAGCAGGATGTAATGATTTCATCTCTGTAAGCATCTGAGCTCGCCTTGGATAAAAAGACAATTAAACAGAGAACATAAGGTTAAATTTTAGCCAATGATATCTAATTGGATAGTAAAGCTCATTTGTGCTCAGCAGAACTGACAACTGCTGATATTTTTTACCCTCATATATATTGATCACTGCTGAGGATTAAAGCAATTTATAAAGAACTTTTTTATTCCCACATAAATGTACAGGATGCACAATGTGAATGCATTAGTAAAAAATAAAATAAAAAATAAAACAAAACCCAGTATCTGATATCATTCTGAAAGTTTACTGTATAGATGTAGGGATGTAAATTGTGATTTGGCTTGTCCCCAAATATTAAACAAGAAGGTATAAAAATGTTCTTCTCTTGCTAACAGAGCAAGACTTTTTTTTCCAACTCAGAAAAAAAGATTTGGTAATCTGTGTGACATTTTTGGTGCTATTGTGAAAACTTAGAACAAGGGTAACTACTACCTTGTTGCACAGACTTTTAAAAAGTAGAAACTATTCTTAGTCTTGTGCTGGAGAGAATACTTACAGGCTGTTAAGTATCAAGACAGCCTGTAGCAAACACGCATGTAACATTAAAAAGATTTCTTCCTATCTGTATATGAGATTGTGAGCGCTCTCACACCCCCTTCCATGATGACACCAAGAGTTGTTGCTGGAACAGGCTCCTTTATTGAGCAATAAAAATTTTAAAGGGCCCACTGGGCCACCAACATAAAAACAGCAACTGAGGGCACCAGGAAGTTAACTCCACTCCCCCCAGTCTTTGGGGCAGTGTCACTGTATAGTATCTTACTGGAAGGAATGGAGCCCCACCTCCTCTACCAGATCCAGGACCCCTCAGAGATGGGTCAGGCACAGCTTCCACAACAAGGGTGTTGGATTTAGGCTGTTAAATGTCCCTGGTGACAAAGGCTCCCACCCCAGCCATTTCTCTGTAGTTTCCACTGGCAGCCACTGCCTTGTAAGTGTGGCTGAATTCCATCTGGACCTGGCTAATGCCATCCACATAGTGGGGCGTAGTAGGTGGCTGACCTTCTTGGGGCCAGAAGAGAGGCTAACCATAGGACTTCTCCAGTGAAGTGGCTTGCCCCCCTTTTTTCTGCTGTGAATGGCTCAAGCCTCCGAATCTCTTGGCACCTTGCCTGGTCCCAACAGACCTGGGTAGCTTCCTCCAGCAGCATGAATTGTTTGACTCAGTAGTTGGCTGGGCTCATGATCACATCTGTGTACGATGTCCCATCCCCTTTTTTTTCTGCTGTGAATGGCTCAAGCCTCCAAACCTCTTGGCACCTTGCCTGGTCCCAACAGACCTGGGTAGCTTCCTCCAGCAGCATGAATTAATTGTTTGACTCAGTAGTTGGGCTCATGATCACATCTGTGTACGATGTCCCATCCAGCCTTCAGTTTCTCCACCAGCAGCACCTCTTGGTCTTCACACACCTTCCAGCACATGGTGTTTGCTCAACCATCTTCTTATCCTGCCTCTCCCTTCTCCTAAATTCCAAGTCCCTGCCGTCTGCAAATTTGTGGCCTCAAGGGTGTCAACCACTTCTCCCTCACAAATGCCCCAGCCCACAGGTGAGCTGTGAGTAGAGAATCCAGTTGTTGCTTTCTGAGAGGTGGAGAGCACCGTCATGGATGGGGGGAGGGACCCTTGCCAATCCCACAGATGTACGTATCTTGTTGCTTTCTGAGAGGTGGAGAGCACCGCCATGGATGGGGGGAGGGACCTTTGCCAATCCCACAGATGTATCATATTTGTTATTACACATATTCTAATATCATAAAAGTCATGGGTAAATTGGGTGAATCTACTGTAACTCTCTAATTCTGAGTATAATATTTACAGTAAGTAAAGAGTATACTAGAATGCTGTTTCACTCAAATTTCTATGGGCTAAATCCAATGCTGCTCCCAATTATAGCAGGCCCACTGAATTCAATGGACCTCATGCTACTTGTGAGATAGAAGTCCAAAATATTTCAGTGATCGCTATCCTGTTGGATCTACCATGCACGGAAAGCAATTGTGCAAGCAGTGTTCTCCAGTGTGAGAGCTGACTGCTTGTCTCAGTCATGTTCTATTTGTATAAGCAATTGCACAACCAGTTGCGCCCCAGTCACACAATGCACACCACAAAAAAAGCAGATATCCAGTGTAGGGTTAGGAATTAGCATCCTGGAAAAGGCCACAACAGTTTGTTTGGCTGGGATTTGCAGGAACATTCTACACAGCAACATTTTGTTACAAGCCCCATTTGGCACTCCTATAGAACAAGTTAATGTTACATCCAGGAAAAAAAACACTTTTCATTACTTAAACTTACTGATACTGCTGTCTTTTGTTCTCCGACTGAATGGTACGCCAGACCTAGACAGTATGCCGCTTCTCCTTCCATTTTCTTATTCTCTGCTAAATAGGAATAAAGACTGCAATTATTACTAAGCTTAAATACAAATTATATAGTAGTGGACTCTACATGGGATTTTAAAGTTATTGTGCTCCTCAATGTAGTCATCTTAATATATTTCAATGTGCATCATTATTACCTACAAAAAAAGTGATGTATGGTTTGACATGATTCATTTTGTTTGGAGTGTGTGTAGAGATATCAGCAAGCATAACAAGCCCAAAGCACTTCTCTCATGTTTCAGTCACTGAGGGACAACATTCAGGGAGGGAAAGTTAGAATTGTGGAGAGAGTGGAATGCTTCTGCTAAGGACAGAACCGGCTGCTTGTATTCATTTCTAAACATCCGGAAGAAGAGTTCTCCTTCAGTCAATGGGAATCCCCTTCATGGATTGCTCCATCCCCCTTCATGGATTCCTGCCTTGTTTTGGCGAAGGGGCTTGAGTAACTCAGGGAAGCTATGGGCTATGCCGTGCAGGGCCACTCAAGAAGGACAGGTCATAGTGGAGAGTTCCGACTACACGCAATCCATCTGGAGTAGGAACTGACAAGCCACTCCAGTATCTTTGCAAAGAAAACTCCATGAACAGAAACAAAAGGCTAAATGGGAGAGCTTATGAATGGAACTTTGAGAGAGGCATTTCTGGTCTCTTGTTCTTCCTTTCCACAACCTTAGAACCAAGCATGATCCCAGGCATGGAAGCCTAAGAAAGAATCCAGATGTGATGGTCCGGCAAAGATCCAATCCTTACTTTTATGTTTATTGCAGCAAATGTACCCATTTGAACAGCAGTGTGTTGACAATTACCACTGAACTACTGTATAATACACAAGAATGTTAATGATAACTACATCTATGCTATCATCTTGTGATATATATTATAGGGACGTGGTGGCGCTGAGGGCTAAACCACAGAAGCCTGTGCTGCAGGGTCAGAAGACCAAGCAGTCGTAAGAGTGGATCCACACGACGGAGTGAGCGCCCGGCGCTTGTCCCAGCTCCCGCCAACCTAGCGGTTCGAAAGCATGCAAATGCAAGTAGATAAATAGGGACCACCTCAGTGGGAAGGTAACAGCGTTCCGTGTCCAAGTTGCACTGGCCATGTGACCACGGAAGAATGTCTTCGGACAAAATGCTGGCTCTATGGCTTGGAAATGGGGATAAGCACTGCCCCCTAGAGTCGAACACGACTGGACAAAAATTGTCAAGGGGAACCTTTACCTTTGCTATATTATAGCAATATATAATAGAATAATAGTTAGTAATTAACAATATATAATACGATATGATAATTACAGCCATCAAGTCAATTCAAATTGACATAAAATGGTTTACCGATCCCTGCATTGGTGGTGTTCTAGGACTATGCAGCTTGCCCAAGGCTGGACAGGGTGGCTCTTCTCCTGGGAGGCACAGTGGGGGATCAAATTCCCAGCCCCTGTCTCTGCAGCCATGGAAGGTCTTTATCCTCAAAGAACAGCAATGAATGTTTATTCTATTACATATTTCTCCCATCTTTCCACTACAAGGCAGTGCTCAAGGAAGCTAGCCACATCATTAAAAGCAAACAATAAAACAACCAGAATAATCACTCAAAGCAAATGAAACAGTGAAGCCATTACAACCCATATGTATCAAAACAAAGGCTAGTTTGAACAAATGTGCTTCCATACTGTTCTTACAAGTAGGAAGAGTTGGATGTGACTGCAATTCTGAGAGTGCATTCTACAGCTGGAGAGCAACACGGAGAAATACATTCTTCGCATACCCATCAAACATATCTCCACACAGAGATGGCCTCATATTTAGGCAAAGTAGGGTGACTCCTTCAGATGGCAGACTGCTGGGGGTGGTGAATTTGCCAGCTGCCTCTACAACTCCTCACTGCTTAGGAGAGGTGCCACTGCTTTGCCCAGATCTCCAGTGTTAGCTTTGTTAGTTTTCTAACATCTGGACTCTGAGGACTTTAGAGCTGAGACATGGGTGAAATTTCTTCATGTCCCTATATACCAAGTACTTGCAGAACAACACTCTGAATACTCAGGAGATTTCTGATCACATTCACCCGATAAATACTTTTCTGAAATCGGCAGCAGGAAGTCCATCATTCTTCTGTCAATAAGGTTTTGAGCTGTAAAGTTACAGCACTGCATCATCTCAACTTAGTAATCACCTCTAGTATTTTGCTATTAATAAGAAACAGTTTCAAAATACTGTAGACTGTACAGATTTGTGTTTCTGGACTCCCAGAATTCCCAGATAACATAGTCACTGGAAAATTCTGGTACTTGCAGTGCAAAAATACAAATCTGCACACCTCTACTGGAAAAGTCTACAGAAACAGTCAAGTGGGAAATTTTACTGTAACTGAATACTGTACAGTATTAAATGAATACTTTATTATTGATTCAACCGCGTTGGTCATTCAACCTCCACCAACTTAAAACATAAATTGCAAATAGCAATATATATATATATTGCAAATAGCAATATATATATATATTGCAGATAGCAATATATATGTGCATTAGTGTAACCTGATACCACAAGAGTGATGTAGAGCAACACAGCAAAATAGCTCTCACATAGCTAGCTCAAAAGGCACAAAGGAAGAGTTTGGACAACATTAACTATGAGAATATACTTGTCTGTTGAAGGAATGTCCAAATAATTTTGATATGCTATTAAATCAAAGTCTGTGCACAAATATAATTCTCCGAGTGAGAAATCTTTATAGCCATGCGTTACACAATAACATAAAGTGTTCTATCTTTCCATGTATTTAAAATGGTTACCGCAGGCAACCATCACAAAAACCTTTTTTCCAATAATTACTTTTTAGAAATCATCATCATTAAGAAACCTAATAAGGTGAAAAGGCTAATAAGCTATAAGAAGCAAGCAAATGACCTTTACAATTAGCTTAGTCTGTCTAATAAGCAACATCAAACAAGTAACAGTGAATAATCAGTGAACAGCCACTAGTACGTTTGTCAGTGACCTTACTACTGATTATGGACTCATTGCTTTACAACAGCACTCCCAAAAGACTGTATTTTTGGAGCTGAAAGCTTTCAAGAAATAAATGGACTCCTACTTGCCAGCAAGTAGGTACTTCTGTTTTACAACAAGATTTAGAAATATATTGATAGCATTTGTCTTGAATTTCATAGAAAATAATCACCAAACACTTGACAGTGTTTTTTATTTTACTCTTGGGAAGACCCAGGCCTGCACATTAAAGAAAGAAATGCAGGAGTGTTATTTTCTACCCACCTTCTTTTGCCATTTCAAAGGCTTTTATTAGAGTTCTGATGGCCTGTTGGTGTTCTTTATTTCCTAGCATTTTGTCTGCTAGCAATGTGTAAATTCTCCAGAGATGTTCACATGCTACTGAGTTGTAAGTCTGGCCTGTATCATCCTTCCATATACGCCCCACTGTCAGCTGATGGAATGCTTCATAATGTTCTACTGCTTTCAGAAACTGACCTGAAGAATGCAAGTCAGAATTGTAAGAATTTTTACAAAATATTCTAGCAAAAAAACATCATTAGATATTACTCATGCAGTAATACTTAAAGATGGATTGTTTGATAATAAAGTTGTGTGAAAAATTCAAAACTTTGCACATACCAGTCCTAAGAGTGATTGAGGGCATGCACCCACAGTAGCACTGCAGGAAAATCATTATTGTATTTCTGTTTGCAAAAAAGCTGGAAATAATGGTTGGGAATGGTATGCATTTATTCTTTATTTCATGTTGAAAAGTAATCACATTTATTTCTAATTAAATACAATTTTTGGCATATTGCTTATATTGAAAAACTTCAATATGCACACAGATTTTTTTATCTGCAGAGCTCTGTCAGCTCTGAAGCTGATTGGGTAGTTCAGAGCATTAAGTATGTGGCTGAGAAATTGGAAGATGAGAATCAATTGTGAGCCGTTAATCACCAGCTTTCATAAATGATTTTAAAAGTTTTTAAAGCTCCAGCCAACCTATCAGTAAAAATGTGAGTAGATAAATAGGTACCACCACAGTGGGAAGGTAACAGCGTTCCATGTCTAGTCACGCTGGCCACGTGACCACGGAAATTGTCTTCAGACAAACACTGGCTCTATGGCTTGGAAATGGGGATGAGCACCGACCCCTAGAGTTGCACATGACTGGACTAAATGTCAAAGGGAACCTTTCCCTTTCCCTATTATTATATTTATTTACCTATTTTATGTTTATTATTAATTATTATTTAATTTCTGTCTTTCTGTATAGGGATTCAAAGAGGATCACAAATGGCTTTAAAACATATTTTAAAACAATGTCAAATATAAAAAATAACATCATTTAAAACAATCAAATCTATTTTGATCAAATTTTAAAGGCACAATAGAGAACCCTGCTAAAACCAGTTAAAAACCACACATTTTAAAATGATAATTGAACGATTCTCCCCTTAAAATCCCTTCCTTGCCAACAGTTAACATAGTAGAAGTCTGCCTGAAAAGGAGGGTGTTTGCCGGTCAATGAAATGATGGGAGACAAGTTGGTCTCTCATGGAAGAGAGAGACACAGTCCCTCAAACAGTCTGGACCCAAGGGGTTTACAATTTAAAATCAGCACTTCAAATTGTGTCTGGAAATGGACTGGTAGCCAGTTAAGCTATTGAAAGAAGGTTTTTCTCTTCCTGTAACCAGCTCCGGTCATAAGTCTAGCCACAGCATCCTGGACCAGTTGAAGTTTCCAAAAAGTTTCCAAGTTAGACTCACATACAACACATTATAGTAATCCAAACAAGATATAACAAGATATATAGGAATGTGTCACTGTGACCAGATCACACTTCTAAAGGAACAGGCATGACTAGCACACTAGTTTTAACTGTGCAAACAACACCCTTTGCCACTGCCATGGTACCAATCAATCTTCACATCAGGATACTATACATACAATCTGGTTTACAGATTGTTAGGAGTGGAACCTGTCAGGATTTTGTTCTTTTGGTGAAAAGGGAGTTAAATTTTAATATTGTAATGAAGTGCAGAGTCACAAATGCAAAGTACGAGCCGATGTAATGACTAACAGCATACAGGTGAAACAAGCTAATGCACAGCTTGATACAGCTGGTTAAGCAAGACCAGCTGTAATGGTGAAATGTGATAGGTTGTTCTGGGTATAAATGTAACAGAGACAGAACAGACCTTTGTCACTCAGCAGTAAGTCTGGTGGTCATTTGCTTCTATCTCATTAATGCTCTGAATGTTGTTATGCCAAATGTTTATTGCCTTGTATATATGTTTAGCCATATCTAATATACTATATTATAACTACTAAGAACTCTCTCATGTCGTTTTGTCCCCACGTCTAAGTCTGTAAGTCTCTTACTTTGTTATTTAAGTGGGAGGAATGGAAGCAGTTTGATAAAAGGCTTTGTATAACCAGTGTCCTTAGTTTTAAGGCTTGTCTTTCATGACAGAGTGCTCTTGCCAAGCTTCACATTCAACCAGACTCTAAGAAATTTTCTTGAGGCAAGAGCCTTATTAAGCCTCTGGAGTTCTGGCCGCATGCCAACAGAACCCTCCTCTCCGTGTATTTGGAAGCAAACAAGAGCCAGGTTAAAGGACTATCAGGAGGCCTCAGGGTGAGGAAATTAGTACAGTGGTGCCTCGCTTCACAACGTTAATTTGTTCCAGCGAAGTCGCTGTAGAGCAAAAACGTCGTCAAACAAAATTTTAAAAAACCCATTGAAACGCATTGAAAACCATTCAATGCGTTCCAACGGGCTGAATACCTGCTTGCCCAGTGAAAATCCTCCATACGGCGGCCATTTTCTGATGTCTGTTAAGCAAAAAAGCCTTCCTAAAAACAGCGGGGGGCATTTTCTTCAGCTGGTGGCTATTTTGAAACCTGACAATCAGCTGCTTGCTGATTGTTGTAAAGCGAAAACTGGTTCCCAAAGCAGGGAAACGATCATCGCAAAGCGGAAAAACCCCATTTAATGAAGTGGTCGGGCCAAAGCCAAAAGGACGCTCAGCTGCAGATACGCTTGGAAGTGAAAGGAATCCGATGCTGCAAAGAAAAATGTTGCATAGGAACTTGGAATGTAAGATCTATGACGGAGAATGTAAGATCTATGATCTAAGATCTATAGTAAGCTGGATGTGGTCAAACAGGAGATGGCAAGAATAAACATTGACATTCTGGGCATCAGTGAATTAAAATGGACGGGAATGGGCGAATTTAATTCAGACGATTATCATATCTACTACTGTGGGCAAGAATCCTGTAGAACAGTGGTCCCCAACCTTGGGCCTCCAGATGTTCTTGGACTTCAACTCCCAGAAATCCTGGCCAACAGAGATGGTGGTGAAGGC